AACGTTTATTAGCAAATTCTCGGCCCGAGGGCCGGATAATGCGGCAGTAAAACAATCTCGAAAGAATACACGAAATGACACGCAGGTCATTTAAAATAGGGGCTTATAACATATTCAGGGAGAAATTGTGAGAATCTATGTATCACAAATGGATGGGAGATTCGGGACGGGGCACGAAAAATTTACATTTTAAAAGATAACTAGCAAATGGATATCGCTTCATTTATGCTTGGTATTGGCGGTGGGCGGTGATGTGCTCGACGTATGCGTCCCTTGACCACTTCAGCGCGTCGGCGACCATCAACTTCTTCATCAGCGCGGCGTACTTGACGGAGATGGCGAGTCGGCGCAGCACGTTGTCGTTTTCTTGGTCCCATCCGCCGAGTGGCCCAACGATGAAGGCGTCCAGGAACGTGTCGTAGCCATCCGCGTTGAACTTGTTGAAGATGTCGGCGTACTTGCGGAGCTTCTCGGCACGTGCGGCAGCGAAGACGCTCAGGTCGTGGTTCTCGAACGGCATGGTCACGTCCACGATCGTCACACGCTTCTTCACATGGTCGACGAGGGCGAGATCGGGACGTAGTTGACCATCGGTGCCGGGGATCTTGACATTGACGTACTTCGTGGTAGTCGCGGGCAGCTTGATGGCGTTGACGAGGCGGTCGAGGACGGCGTTGTGGCGAAGGGTGATGGCGTGGGCGTGAGCAGGGCAATGACACAGGACGTGGGCGACACTCTCGAGTTGGTAGCCACATCTACGGCAACGCTTGTCTTTTTGATCACGGGCACGGTTGCAGCCATTTAGTGGAACGACGTCGAGTCTTGCACGGTGAACGAAGCGCCAGTCCGCAAAGCGGATATAGCGTCCGTCACGCAGGAAGTAGTTGGAGACGGGCTGGTGGGCGGTGATGTTGTAGACCTTGCCCTGGCTCTTCTTGGCGGTGAGGTGAACGAGCTGAGCTTGATGGACGGCGCGCTTGAGCATCCTTTCACACGTCTTCTTGGTGACGCCACATCCGAGCACGAGCAGTTGGATCTTGTCGTTGGCCCACGTCCACTTCACATCGAGCTTGTCGGTCTTGACGAGGTGGCCGGTCGCTTGTCGCACTCTTGTCCACATGTTGCGGATGTCGGCGTAGTACGTCTCGAAGGCGCCGTCAAGCTTCTGGTTCAGGTAGTCGGCCACTTCGGAGTCGGTTGGAGCACGCTTGATCTTCTTCTGTACAGCTGTACGGAGCAGCTGAGCAGTCATTGGGCCGAGATCAGTCGACTCCAACAACTGGACAGCATGCACCAGCTGCATTACATCGGCGAGGGTCTTGGTCTGGATGAGGCCGAGGCCTCCCATGTTGTGCGGCAGGTAGACGACTTCGGGGCTAGCTTGACTCGGGAGGCTCAACCACGACTTGGCGAACTTCTTCAACTTCTTGTCGAACGGGATGAGGTGCTTCTTCTTCTCGACGTGGCCATTCTTCAGATGGAAGGCGATGCAAGGCAGGATGAAGGTGTTGACGGCATCCGCTTTCTGCCAAGGGGCGAGTAGCGAAGAATGGATTTTGTCGAGGCACTGGTGCATCTTCGTGATGGTCTTGTCTGCAGAAGAGCCTTGGTAGTAGCCGGTGGGCACGCCGAGATGTTCGTAGTGGTCGTTGGAGTCGAGCGTCACCATCCTGGATCCTTGAACCTTGTACTCGATCGGCATGGTGGTGTGCTTGTTGGAGTTGATGACGAGGCTGGCACACTTTTTGCTGTTGAACACGAGACCGAGCCATGTAGAGACTTCGGATACGGTCTGGCCTTTTGGACTTTGGACTTTTGGACTTTTGGACAATTTGCCGGTCATCCCTGCTTTTCAAGCCTTTCTAAAAAGACTAGAAAGCGCCAAAAATCGACCCCTCGCCTCGCCTAGGTCTTGCCAACTACGCGAGAGTCCAATTTGCAGCTCTGTCTCATTTTATCGCAGCTAGGAGCGATCAGATCTGTCTGGCAATTATGTTAGAAATTTTCTTGCTGTCTTTTAGAAAAATAAAGCCATAACTTTACCGGAAAAAGTCTTTAAAAAACGATAAATTCTGGAAAATCTCGAAGTTTTGCCTAAAAAACGGCCATTTTTGATCGAAAATTCTATATTTTTTTTGGATTTTAAATAAAATTTAAGGAACCCTTTGCCTTTATGCATATTAAAAAACCTTTTGAAGCACTTGGGTTAATTAATTTCTAAAATTGGATCCTAGCCAAAAATGCCGTTCGGAGTGTCGCGTAGATGTCCAGACCCAGCCGCAGGACGGAGTTGATTTTTGCACTTCCAGGTGCCTTTAGAATGGCTAAAATTAGGCATTAAATCTTGGCAAGAAATTTACCCCTCTCTACGCCTCGCCCAAGTTTCGTTGTGCCCAGAATTTAATGGGCAGTCCTGGCGATTTCTCCGCATTTTCGTCAGCATCCAAAATCGATCGCTTTTCGCTGGGGTTTTTATTGGGACTTGCTGCCCGACGTTTTGACCCCCCCCCGCCCGTTTTGTTGTTCCAAGGATTTGAATTTTGATTCGGGTGTCGATAGTATTGATACGGAACGGAACTTCCCGGATTTTTGTCAGGTTAAACGAAGTAGGCTGATTTGTAGAGCTGATTTTACATTTGCTCTGCTAACTCAGGCTTGACTTTACGTTCTGGTTTGTCTTTTTCCGAATTTAACTAATATATTTTTATGGTAAAAACAAGATATCCAAAGATTTGATAAAATCTGCTGAACTTGTTGGGGAGGAAGCTCTCAGAAACAGGCAATCGACGCGTTGCAAGTGACGCATTCCTGTGAACTGGGTGTGCCAGCAATATTGGCAATTCGCAATCCATCTCTCTCTCTCTCTCTCTCTCTCTCTCTTTCTTTCTCTCTCTCACTCTTGCTTTCTCTCTCTCATGCTCTCTCTCATGCTCCCTCTCTTCGTTGGATAGCGCTGACTTCCGCGTCATGATAGCCGTTTTTAATCCGTGAGATGCACTTTGAGATTTCTTTTACCTCATAAGAATTTTTACTTTTATGCAAGTCTTTAAGATCCTTTCTTTTCCAGCCATTGAAAAACGAGAACAAGCGAAATCGCTGGTATGTGAGCCGTGGACGAAGGTGAGCGATAAAAATGTGCCCCCGAAAAAAAACCGTTTTCTCGGGCGATCGGGAAAAGTATCAGCTTGAAATCAATCTCCAACATAGTGCCCCAAGTCATAAAGTTGAAAAATTAATATATTCCATGGAAAACACCACCAATATCCTTTTTAGCGTTTTATGGAGCTTGTCGTACTGCTCGCCGTCGTCGTTCAACTATGCGGCAGCGTCCACGGCGAGCTCGAGTTGCTCCAGGTTTTTAATGTGGGTTTTTGGTGCCAACAAATTTGTTTAAACTAACATTTTAATCGAGAAAACAATCAATTTAGATCTGGCGCCATGGGGACCGGGCCCCGGTTCGAATGTTTTCTTCCGCGGAAGCCGCCGCTCATCCTCTGTTCAAAAATGGGCTCAAGAATCTGACAGATGTAAGAGGTTACTGTACTCATTAAAGGGATGCCCAAGCTTTTCGGGGCTCAAAAAGCAAAAACCATGCCGCTGGCGGGGGTCGAACCCGGGACCCCCGTTTTATAGGCCAGGATGCTATCCATTAGGCCATAGTGGCAAGCCATCGGGTGGGATGGGGACGCCACAAGAGGGAAAGGTGTGCGAATTTTGTGCGGCACTGGTGCCTCATTGCCACACAAAATTCCCGCATCATTTGTACTGCCCGGAATAGATAACCATATATTTGCCAGCAAAACCTTGGGTATCCCTTTAAGCAATAGGAATCCACCAAAAATACGACGTCATAGAAATAAAACAAAAAATAAAAGTGACATTTTAGCAAGGAATCCAGCACGCCTTCCATATGGGCCAATTTATCAAGTACAAGTACGGCGATTTCCTATCGACGCCTGACCAGGTTGGTAAGGGACGTTAAAAACGTACCGAAGACACAGAAAAAAATTTAGTTCGAAGTTGGTTCCGAAATGTTCTCTGCTGGCTTGCTTTTTCCGAACAAAACTCCTGAATTTCCATTCTAGGCATTTTAGGCGAGTTAGCAGAGACCCTTAGAGGTTCTACATTCTCAAATGGCCTCTGCTCGCCTGGCTCAGGAGTGCAAAAAAACTCACGAGAGCGTGGAGTCTTTTGCGAGCTTTCGGGGCAGGCTAGCAGAGGCAGTTTGTGGAACGCAAAGCCTAAAACCTAGATAATAATAATAGAAAATCGAAAAAAATTGGGCTGAATTCTTGGGGGCAGCTAGCAGAACCCATTCAGGAATGGCCCTCTCATTAAAGCGCATTTTTTTTCTTTTAGGTCCACATCCGCTCCACCAGCCACGACCGAACGATCCGGACGGCCCAGGAGGCGATGCGGGCCGTTTTTGGGGATCAGAAAGTTGAGCTCGAGGTGGCCGAGGGGGAGGATTGGGTAGGTTTTTGCTGTCACAGTCCCTTTAAAGGGCCGGGAAGCGCGATGATCGACCCTTTCCATCGACTAGGTCCTGACAGCTACGCAACGCTCTAAATGACGCTTCCGGCGCTTCTGAATTTTTTTCGATGTCGCATTCCTAAATTAGAGGGCTTGAGATGCGTAAATTGGAGTGGAGCGTAGTTGTCGAGACCTGGTGGATGAGGGGTGGATATATGGCCTCTCGGCCCCTTTAAAATGCAAGGTTCGAGAGCGAGAGAGCGAGATAGCGATAGTGAGAGAGCGCGAGAGAGAGGCAGAGAGAGAGAGAATGATAGAGTGCGAGAGTGAGAGAGCGAGAGAGATACTGAGCTAGAGAGATAGAAAGAGAAAGAGAGAAACGCAGAGAGAGTGTGCGAGAGCTAGAGACAGAAAGAAAGCGAAACGGAGAGAGAGAGAGAGAGAGAGAGAGAGAGAGAGACAAAGAGTGGCAATATCTTCCATTTCAGATGCTCAAACCTTCATACATGCACTGCCCCGTCCTCCAGCAACTCCAAGAGGCCAAATGCCCAAATTTTGTTCAATTTCCGAGCGACTACGCTACAGTACGCTCCAGTTTGTTGCGCAAATTTGACCTTTTTGTAGAATTTCGACAGCTACGAGTACGACCTATTCCGGTGCGCCGGCCTCGACAAGAAGCTCAAGTATTTCGGGCCCGGCAAGTGGTCTTTCCGGTTGATGGAGAGCATCTTGAATGAGGTGGGCTTCTTGTTAGCATTTGGACGAGAGACAGAGAGAGAGAGACACACAGAGAGAGAGACAGAGAGAGACAGAGAGAGACAGAGACAGAGAGAGAGAGAGTGAGTGAGAGAGGCAGCGAGAGATAGAGAGAGAGAGAGAGAGAGAGAGAGAGAGTGAGAGAGAGCCTAAAATTCATCTAAATCCAGGCGCTGAACAATTACCTCTTCCTGGGCACCAACGTCACTGACGGCCACGTCAGGGAGGCCAGGAAAATGTACAGGTTAGTTCCGTGAAAGTCCCTAGTGATCCCTGCTAGCCTGCCCTTAAAAACCTTTTTAAAATCTAGAAAAGTGCAACGGATCACGCTGGGCATCGGGCCGTACCACGAGCCCGAGCTGTTGCGTGTCTACTCCGGCGAGCTGTTGTTTGGTGCGTTGCGGAATCTGACCATCCTTTTCAAATTGTTTAAACCATTTTGAACAATAATTATGCACAATAATTTAATTAATACTTTTCTAGATATCACCTCAAAGATGAAGGCGCAAATCGACTGCGACAAGACGGAAAGCTGCGGCCCCATCATTTTTCACGGGTACTCTTCGGTGGGTGGCGACGTTTTTTTGGCGGTTTCTGAGGGACTAAAGGTACTTGGAAGGCATGGCTATGGATTTAGAGACGCCCCGACAGGCAACGAGACTGAAATTCGATCGCGTAACCGATTAAGCCGATGGCGTCGGTCAAGCGGCGCGTTGCGTTTGGCGGTCGCGGGAAAAAACCGTGTGAATCCCAAACCAATAACTACCAACGATTTTACCATCCCGTTACGCAAAGCGCCCAACTCCACCGCGTAACCGATCACGCCCGCTTAGGACGGCCAAGCGACGCGTTGCGTCTCGCGGTCGAGTCTAAATCCCGACGGAATCAGCGACCAAAAAAATTTCTTGTGTGTTTTATCGTCGCTAAACACGCGAGGCACGCGAAATTCCATGGCGTAATCGATTAAACCGATTGCGCCGGTCAAGCGACGCGTTGCGTGCCGCGCGGGCGGGGGGGGGGCGGAATTCCTGGCTGCTCCGGTCCTTTAAACATTCATTTCTTTTCAGCAAGACCTCCAAATTTTTCCGATGCTCGAGATCTTCAACTCGACCAGAGCTGCGGTGGGGGGTGACGCTCCACTTTACACTAGCGGAATTTTCATCGAGCTCTGGGCCGGAGATGACTACGATTATTACGTGAAGGTACGGTATTTATGGTGCTTTTTACAGGCCTGGTGGCTATTTCCTGGTTAGGCAAACCAGCAGTGATCGTTGCGGATTTAAGAGCTTGATTTCCCATGGTTTAGGTCTTCTACCGCCAAGACTACTCTGACAACCTCGTCGAGCTGAACCAATATCTTCCACATTGTCGGGGAAAAGCTTTCTGTGATTTTGGTGAGTTTAGAGGCTCGGCAGGCTAGCAGGGATTCTTGCGGAAAATCTAAAGCAAAATTGGATAGGCAAAGTTCGTCCCCCGATAATGAAAAATAATCTCCAATTTTTCAGAAGATTTTGTCTACGGGATCTCCGACTTCATCACGTCCAGCAATCAGCTAGCTTGCCAAGATATCGACCGGATACGATATCGATTAGAGCAGATCGGAAAGGGCACAATTGATGGGGTCGTGCAGGTCGACCATGTCAGACTTGACGACGAGGATGACGATGCACAACGTCAACGTAAGCAGCGGCTGGAAGAATTATGATTTTGGGCTGTTTCCGCTTTTCTAAATCCGTTTATTTGCTTTCCGGGTTCTTTTGCATTATCGGGGGGAGGGGCGAGAATTTTTATATGAATCTAGAAATGCCCAGTAAGGTAACAGGATGTATTTTCATAATGTTTTTAGTAGAATGAAACTAGATTGTAACTATAGTTAGAAGCTTTAACCTTAACTCTATAGAAAACTATTTTAAAACTCTGAAAATGTTTTCAAAAAGTCAAAAATTAAGTAAAAACGGCCATGTTTAGACGAAAAATCTTTTTTTTTTACTTTTTGATGACAATTCGTAAAGTTTTTACGTTCAGGAAGCGCAAAAAACAGTTTAGAAACACTTCCGTAATTTATATTTGAAAAATTGGATCCTAAAATACGATATGTCCCCCCCCCCTGATAATGCGAAAGAACCGTTTTCTGCATGCTTTTTCTTCGGTTTTTCACGACGAAATTGGGACTCTCAAATATTTTTAGGAAATGCGGCGGCGCTCGGCTGGCTGCCCACCGGGTTCAATATTTATGCGCTGGCCCTGTTGATATATTTTTATCGATTAATTTAGGTGTGTGTATGTATAGAAATAAAGTGTGTAGATAAACGATTCGACCTGTTTTGATCGTTTTAAAAACACGTTCGATGTTGCGAGGACGATAAATGCGGTTTTGGCATCACAGAATTACAGAAAATACTCGCGGTCTATCGGGCTCTCGTAATACGTCCTTACAGGTACACTAAAGCCTCGTTGATTTGGTTACCGGCCGGTAACCGTCCGCGGGATAGCAAACAGGGTTACGGTAGCCGCTCGCAGCGGAGCAAAACCGAACCCGCGCCACTCGCCTGTGGCAAGGGAAGGGGGATAAGATTGGTCCGCGCGTTGCGCGGCAAAGGGCCCGGATTCCCGACGGCGAACCGACTTTTTTGGACGAGATTTTAGTGTACCTTTAAAGGGATAGGGGCGGCATAAGCCAATCGATTACGCGCGGGAAAGAAAATGTCTCTGCGCCTCTCCCCTGACTAGGGAATGGTTTCGGGCGGACATCGGACCTAGATATGTGAGTATGTGCATCTTGTAGATCTCGACGAGACGAATCGATTGATGTAACTTTTAGCTGCCAACGCCTTTAAATAAAAAAGTTATAACGATTTAAAGTTTTCTGGCATGGCTTCATAAGCCCTCCCTGCAACCCCGTCACCGTGGTCCAGTGGCCTAGTGGTCTAGTAGTCAGCGTCTGGGGAATCTAACGAGGGTTCGAACCCGCTCACGATTTTTATTTTTTGCTTTTTTGTCCGAAGCTTCCTCATTGCATTCTGAAGGCCGTAAAAAACTTTTTGTGCATTATTTATACACAAAGAAACGCTCCAGCAATAATACAGCTTCGGGTGAAAAATTAATTTTTTGATCCTGTTGGCTGGTGCCTGGCTCATGCATCGAAAATATTTGGGGGGGAGGAGTGGTCCAAATTGTGGTCACGTTTCTTACAACGTTGTAGCGTACCCCAAGTTCCATGACAAATATTTTATTTTCTCTTGAACTTGCCGTCTACCATGCCTACGTTGTTTAACAAATTCCAAATTTTCACAAAAATATTTCGGTATTATTGCTGGAGCGTTTCTTTGTGTATAAATAATGCACAAAAAGTTTTTTACGGCCTTCAGAATGCAATGAGGAAGCTTCGGACAAAAAAGCAAAAAATAAAAATCGTGAGCGGGTTCGAACCCTCGTTAGATTCCCCAGACGCTGACTACTAGACCACTAGGCCACTGGACCACGGTGACGGGGTTGCAGGGAGGGCTTATGAAGCCATGCCAGAAAACTTTAAATCGTTATAACTTTTTTATTTAAAGGCGTTGGCAGCTAAAAGTTACATCAATCGATTCGTCTCGTCGAGATCTACAAGATGCACATACTCACATATCTAGGTCCGATGTCCGCCCGAAACCATTCCCTAGTGAGCGCCCCTCTCTCGCCGCAGCATCTGTTGACCCCCCCCCCCCTTAATGGGATAACCAATGTTTTAGCGGCAAATATATAGTTATGTATTCCGGAGAGTACAAATGACGCGTGAATTTTGTGCGGTAACGGGCGCCCAGTGCCGCACAGAATTCGGACGCTTTTCCCTCTTGTGGCGTCCCCATCTCAACCAATGGCTTGCCACTATGGCCTAATGGATAGCATCCAAGCCTACAAAACGGGTGTCCCGGGTTTGACCCCCACCCGCGGCATGGTTTTTGCTTTTTGGCTCTCGGAAAGGTTGGGCATCCCTTTAAGGGGGCTTACAATCACTCAGGAATCCATGCGCCCCCCCCGCGTTGATTCCTGGCAAATAGCCAGATGCGACCGCAACGCGACCGCACCGCCTAATCATCTGCTCCTGCTTGGACGTGAAAACGCTGGAATTGAAAAATTCAGAAGTTATTTCTGTAATCCTCATCGAATTTTGATCATCATAGACTTTTTATTATGAAAATTGATCAGGCATCGAAAATGGCGACCAGGAAATTGGCATCTTCGTAGAAGGGCGCTGCCGAACAAACGAACGCGCCGAGAAAGTCTAAAATTGAAAATGCCGGTGAATGCCGGTGATGAAAACTTCCCGTTCATCAGCAAAATTTGATCCTTTGAAACAGTTCGTCCCCCCCGATAATGGGAAAGAAACGGACTTACATTTGCCGTACGCCTGGAGACGGTAGTAGCGCCGGTTGCTACCCATTTCCTTGATCTGAAATTATTTTTGATACATTATGCGTTGATTTTAGCCAAGTCTGCTTAGGCTTCACACAATTTAATTATGAACCAGGGTTGAAAAGCCGCTTCGCGTCTTTTCAACCCTGGCCGCCGTCTAGCGGCATAATATGCTTTATTTTGCATAATTCTCGCGAATTCCGATGACAAAAAAATGAATGAAAATCTCTCCCTCCGCCCATTATATAGGCTTGCGCCATTTCCGGCATATGCTAATTGATTCCTAACAAAGTGGGTACTCCATTTTCTAACAAAAACTTAATTTTAACGTCGAAAATAGCTTAATTTGCAAAATCTGATGTGTGTGCAGTCATCTCAGCGCCATTACGCATTTAATGACGTATCATAAGTTGCTTAAAACCCTTTCCCTCTCGAGATATCCTCCGGACACCCTGACGGAAGTTGCATGCAAAGTGGCACACACACACACACAAACACACAGACACTATTTTTTTATATATAGTAGGATATAGTAGGATTTAGCAAAGTGCCCACCTCGAGTCGCTCCAGCAGCCAGGATTTTGTCGTTTGCGCATCCAGTTCCGCTTCGTTCAACAAATCCATACGACCATCATGGACACGTTGGAGTCGACGCTCGAATTGTTCCTAGAAATAATAATGGTACTGGTCTGTTAATGGTGGGATCCCATTTTCCTAGTAGGCCCGTTCCCCCCCTATGGGGAAACATAAACCATTTTTATCGTATTTTATACACTTTTAGATCCAAAAATCACGCAAATCCAAAACCAAAAATCCAATTTATTACCAAAATGCTACTTTTTTGCTAAAAATTTATGAAAATTACGAAAAATTAATATTCTGGCAATTTTAAAATCAAAAACCTGGTTGTTTATGGCTTCCTCGCGGCCAAAAACTGCTAAAAACACGATGTCAAAAAAAATGCAAAAAACCGCGATTGATTTTCTCACTGCTAGGAATGTCCCCCGCTAACAGTCTAGTGCCGATCACCTATTCTTTCTGTAAAAAATTAAGTTATCCCGAGCCACCAACCGAAAACAGTGCCAAATCAAAGTCTTCCGCTTCATTTCTTCCAGAAACCCGCAGCATCCGTCCCCACAGTGGCGTACGCATCGGGCAAAAGGCCAACTGAAATATTTGCATCAGGTTTTTTTTGGCTTTTACATAGAGGGTGTTCCAATGTAAAAAAAACACCCCCTCTAACTCAACGCAAAATAGGATTGGAATTATACAGGGTGTCCCAAAAAATAAACCATCTGGCATTTCGCCATGTTACATCCGATCGGTCCCAAGGTTGGAACAGAGGTGGTTCAGACCCTACATAACAACAATCCCGACTTTTAGCCCCGTAGCTATACTGGTTCTCGAGTTATAACGAAAATACTATTTTCCCGCAATTCTAAACAGTTTTTTCGGCTCTTTTTGGATTTTGCATCGATTTGCAGCGACTTCCGGGCGCGAATCCCTAATTTACTTAAGACTTTTGGTAATTTTGCGTTGTAAAAATCGCTTAAATCGACGCTTATTTTATTAAATCTCCGTCCACAAAAAAATTTCTTAAAGTAAAGAACGCCTACCGAATCAATTTCACCTAATGTTTAGGCGGCCTAATTCCACGGCAACCCTATGAAAATAAAGTTTATTTGTCTTATAACTCGAGAACGACTATAGCTACGGGGCTATAAGTCAGGATTGTTGTTGTTTAGGGTCTGATACGCCTCTGGTCCAAATTTGGTCCCAATTGGATGTAACACGGCGAAATGTCAGGTGGTTCGTTCTTTTTTGGGACACTCGGTAGTTACACCATTCGAAAGCCCTTGAAATCGCGAGTTTGCAAGCCTCTTCAAAACCACTTTTTTGAGGCAAATTAGCTCGTGTGCAACCCCGGAAGACAACAGAATCTTACAAATAGGCTTGTAAAATCGTGGATTTGAATCAAAACATGGCGGGAGACTGTTGCAGACTCGCCGTTTCAAGGGGTTTTCGAATGGTGTAACCGCCATTCTGATCCGATAGTTTGAGGGGCGTGGGTGTTTTTTTATTGGGACACCCCGTAGTAAAGTCCTTCAATCCTTACGTCAATTAGATTGGCGACGGCAGAGACGCTAAAGTCTTCAATATGCGGGACAGAGATTTCTGGCAGTTGTCCTGGTCGATTCTTCGCTTGACACCAATTCGCCCACGTCTCTTCGCACACCAAACAATTCCACGGCGCCGCGTTGCCGTAGCGCTATATGAAAGTCGTCTTTGGTTTTATATATGCTCGGGAAGCGATATCTATCGCATCTATCTGGCTATCTCCCGGCGCACTTTTAAAAGGCGTTTTATCGGATTTTATACTTTACTACTATGTCAATTTCGCAAAAGACATTTTGCGAAAGACGAACATCGAACGGGCCATCGGCCATCGGGCCACCCGGGGCGAAAAACGCAAATTTTCGAAACAGGCCATTTTGAAATATGATTCGGGAAAATGACTTTTCGAAAAAGTGTATTGCGGAAACCTGATATCTTAAAAATGACTTCTATCGGCTAGATATCGACAGATTCCCACGCTCCAAAACACGCCCGGTCGTGCTTTGGGATCAAAAACTAAAACTTCTTTACTATTCGATACCTAGTCCAATGCCAAAAAAGGCAGCGCCCGTTTAAAAAGAAAATAAGGCTGGCGTACAGGGACGTAGCGTAATACAGGCCCCGGGTGCCCGCCCCCCCCCGCCCCCGAAATCGGCCGGGGCCCGAAAATTTCATAAGGGACCCTTATGATTTTTATTTTCTCAAAAATTTTGCTGCCTGCGGCGCTATTTTTTTTCACATTTTTACGGCTACTTTTAGAG